AATTTTGACAACATTTTGATGAATATTAATACAAAATGTTTAAAAAGTAAGTTTCAGAATGCCGTTCAGAAAATCGCCCAAAAACAATTTTTCAAATGGAAACGCCCATTTTTGATAATTTTGTCTTTTTCAGTATTAAGAATAAGGGCAAGTTTGTGTAAGGTTGTATGTTCCAAAAGGGTTTAGTTTTCGAAATATTGCCAATTTAATGTTTTCATATGGCTATTTTGCCTCATCTTATTTTAAATCTTGTCACTTTTAGTTGCCATGGCAACAGTGGCAATTTTTAATACAATCCAATGCCAAAGGAATGCTGGCAGCTGTCAGTTACTTTTGAAAGTAATTAATTTATTTGATATTTATGATTTTATATACTATACCAAGAACAGTTTGTACAGGGTGGCTTTTATTATCTTGAAACGCTTCAATATTTTGGAAACGAGTGATCCAAAGGAAAAATGTTTTAAATAAGAAGTTAATATGTGGGAGGGGAAAGTTTATTTGTGTCAGAAAAACAACGCCTACTTCGATCTTGTAGGCTAGGCAGGGGCCAACTTGAGGATTTCAAATGGTAACCACAACATTTCATTGGAGATAGGAATATCATAATTTTACTAGATATTCGAATAGTACATCAAAAAGTGAGAATAATTTATCTAAAACATTTTCTTCGATTGTGACAGGTAGCGGGTCGTTTCTTTGTATTATTATTTACGGACCGAATATTCATCTGATATTAATAAATGCCATTCGTCACACTAAAATTTTCAGCACTTTAATAAAATAACAGATAGTTTAGCAGATCTAAAGCAAAAAAATCGAAGATCAATATTCCGTCCGTAAATAATAATACAAAAAAACGACCCGCCACCTGTCACAATCGAAGAAAATGTTTTGTATAAATTATTCTCACTTTTTGACGTACCTTTCCTAAATTTCAGTCAAAGTGTGAAGTAAAAATTTGCTCTCCCAAAAGGAAGATATAAATCGAAGGTGCTTGTGTCGTTTGAGTCCCTCCAAATGTTTTGGTTTTTATTTTTTTACCCTAAATAACACTTCAAGTTAAGCACTTTCAGCGAACAAATTTCCACACAAAGTTGGAAAAAAATCACTATTTTCAGGTTAAATTTCCAGCGGTGTTGCCAAGCTGCGCAAAACGTTTTAAGTTAATGAAAATTGTTTCCTTGGATACCTAGCATGTAGATTTATTCAATCTGGGTCGGTTTAGATTATTTAGATCTTTTCGGGCTGTTAACTTTTACTTACTTTACTTACTTACTTTTACTTTGTATATATTTTTTAGTTTCATTTACAAAATCACTTCTACCATGTTAACACAAATTAACTAACTCAAAATTAACCGAATGGAGAAACGCAGAAATACGCGACAACACCGCATTGCATTTTCATTCCCGAAAGAAACAAATAATCCGCCATCTGACTATAGACGCTCTAGATAACCTCAATCACTTGACGACGTTAGAAAATGTGCTCAAACTTTTGTGAAAAACACAATTATTATGCATCTTAGTGACAATTTCCCATGTGGAGTTATGAATTGTTGAAACCTAAAACACGATTTAGTAGCAAATAGCACCGGACAATCTCATTTTCCTGCAGTGTAAGTGATTTTGGAAGAGCGAATTTCAGAAGTTTGTGAGTGTTTTTTGGCTTAATTTATAGACTATCCTGGAATTATTTTTTTGCTGAAAGTGCTTAATTTGAAGAGTTCCTTAACATCACAGAATGAAGCCTTCTGTTTTTGTGGATATCGAATGGAAAATGTGTCACATGTTCTTGATAAAACTATAACATTTTCCATAAATAATAAATAAGTTTAAATAATCTTCGTTTGTTTAATTTAAGCGTCCGGGCACGATTATTAATTATTTTCAAAAGGTAAATGACAGCTGTCAGCATTCTTTTGGCATTTGATTGTATTAAAAATGGTCACTTTCGTCATGACAACTAAGAGTGACAGCATTTAAAGTAAGATGCGGCAAAATAGCCATATGAAACATTAAATTGACAATATTTCGGAAACTAAAGACTTTTGGAATAGATAACCTTACACAAACATAATTTTTTTTAATAGTGAATAAGGCAAAGGTATTAAAAATGGGAGGTTTCCACTTGAAAAAAGTGATTTTGGGCGGTTTTCTCAACTTTATTTTGAAACTAATTTTTTTTACACTTTGCACTAGTTTTCAAAATCTTGTCGAATTTACATTAAAATAAAGCCTTTTCAACAAGAAATGCGACTCAAATTAAGTAGCAAAATAAATAATTATTCGAGTGGCTGCAACTGTGATTTTTTATATAAAATTTCATGAAAATGAAATTATTATTATACATGAAATATATTTACAATTTGGAGTAGAACTCAAAAATGTAATAATATATAGGGGTACTGATGATGTGGCCATCTTGAAAATATTTTAGATAGCTTAGCCCCATTGACTTCGGCACACTGTCCAATTTTCAAATTTGTTCTAATTACAGTTTTCCAGATGGTACAGTGGGACACCCTGTATGTACATTTTATTGCACGAATTGACAAAGTCAAGCTCTCTATCCTTGGGAAAGTTTCACTTTTTATTAGCGGTAAACAAGTGAATAAACTGGGTTTGAAGGCGAAGCCAGTCTTTTCCTAATGGTAAAAGTTCTAAGCTGTAATGGACTTTTCGGGTAATATACATGACTGCCTTGGATCTTTCCTCTAATTTACAAC